GTGGGCCAGGAGTTTGACAGCCCTATTCTAGAGCATTATTTTTCTCTATGGGAAGAATGTGGCTCCTGGGAGGGATTCATTAATTTAATATACAAGACTATGCAGTTCATTCAGCAATTGAGTTTTCCTTAAAAGAACATGCATTCAAAGAGTAGGAAAGAAATGGACTTTATACAGTATACTGCCTGCACAGCTATTCCTATTTTTTTTTTGGGTGGGAGGGGAACGAGACAGGAAAACTAAACTGTATAAAAATGGCATTTACAAAAACTCATCAAGATCAGCAGGCAGAAACAGCAAAGGCTCATCTTTCTGTGGCAAAAGTGAGTGGTTTCCATCCAGCTGAGAGGGAGAAGGGTCATCCCCTTCCCCTTGAAGGAGAGCCCATCAATCAGGAATTTGGGAATGAGACTGAAGCCAAACATTTACTTCCATCCCCATAGATTAATCAAATTGCCCTACAAATTACATTCAATAGAATCAACAGGGGTCAGTGGGGATGAAAGGTATATTTGCCTTCGCCTTGAGTCAGTAGTGGACCATTCCACTTAATATCTCTTGAGTCATTGCTAGTAGTAACTATGCTGCTTTTTAAAAAGTTTGAGGCTATATTGTTTAATTTATGCATACCCCCAAGCATTGGTTGAGGTTGCAAAAAGTCCCTGAGATGACATTGAAGAATATATTGAAAGAAATTTTGTAGCTGGTGCAGATGCCTATTTATTAATTGATGGGGATTAAAATGCTATATTGATAATATTCTTTACCAACTATTCAAGTGTTATTATCGGATGAATCCTTGGAGGAATATCTTTATCCAAGATTAATAAGAGGTCAAGGACCCAACTTAATCAGATTCTGTTTAAGATAGATGACCATCCATCTAGCTTCTCTGCATTTTGAATGATGGGCTTCTCAAAAATTGCCCAGCTGAATATACCTCTTGAGAAGTAGAGAAAAGATCGTTGACTGTTAAGTCATTATATCACTATCTTTTTTTTTTAACCTTAGCTTTTAAAGCTGTGACAGGAACTTAAATATTGGAAGACTGCTATCAAGTCACCCCTAATTCTTTTTTTTTGTTTGTTACACTAGACATACCTAATTCCTGAAACTATTCATCATATGATTTATCCTCCAGTCCCCTAATCATCTTTGCTGCTCTTCTCTGCATTCCATCTAGAATCTCAACACCTTTTTTACATCATGGTGACTAAAACTGGATGCAATGTTCCAAGTGTGGTCTTTCTAGTTGCAGTATAAAGTGGTACTAAAACTTCATGTGATCTTGATATTAGCCCTCTGTTGATGCAGCCTAGGGCTACATTGGCTTTTTTGGCAACTGCAGCACACTGCTGGCTCATACTTAAGTGGTTGTCTGCTAGGATCTCAGGTTACTGCCATATTGTTGAATCACATGCCACCTACTCTATACCTGTGTATTTGGTTTTTCTTGCTTAATGTAAAACCTAATGTAAAACACTGGATTGCATTTTGTTGGATAGGGCTCAGTGTTCAAATCTGTCAAAATCCTTCTGGATCTTAAAGTATATGTTGGTGTCATCTGCAACCTACATGCAACTAACCTACAACTTACCTGTATCATCAGTATCCTGAAAATACAGATAGGATTTATATGATTTTACTTGTTTTCTGATTTTAATATCCCCACGACTTGGATCGTAGAATAATATTGTACAGCAACTATAAAAATGAGGCACCAGCTAATGCCAAGTCTTCCATAGTTATAGTTCAGTTTATTTGCTGCCCACTTTGATGTTATTCAATGTTTTCTTTTTAATTTTATCATTTTAGTAGGGTTGGATTTTTTTCTTTTGTTTCTGGTCTTTGATATTATTAAGGTACAGGTAGCCCTTGATTTATGACCATAATTAAGCCCAACATTTCTGTTGTTAAGTGAGAAATTTATTAAATGAGTTTTGCCTCATTTTGCTACCTTATTTGCCACAGTTGTTAAGTGAATCAGTGCAGTTGATAAATTAATAATCTGGTTGTTAAGTGAATCTGTCTTTGCCATTGACTTGCTTGTCAGAAGATCGCAAAAGGGGATCACATAACCTTGTGACACAGCAACGGTCATAAATTTGCCAAGCATCTGAATTTTGATCACATGATCATGGGGATGCTGCAAAGGCTATAACTGTGAAAAACAGTCATAAGTCACTTTTTTCAGTGCTGTTGTAACTTTGAATGGTCACTAAATGAACTGTTGTAAGTTAAGGGCTACCTGTACATGGATTTATGATCTGCTTTTGGAGGTTATGTGGAGCTTGTTGAATATGGGTGTAAATACAGCATCTATGCTTGTATAGAAGCATATTTTTTTCTTGATAAGAAAAAATATGTTATTGTTCTTTGCCAATACAGTAATTCACTTAATTAATATCTTGACTTTCATCCTATCAAGACAAGAAATCAATGGAAACCAAGTGTCACCTACTGCATTTCTGCCTGTATTATAGCTGTGAACAAATTGTCAGTATATCTGGGGATGTATTGATACAAATATAGTCCGATATCCCAAAAGCTACAAAGGGTTGTATTGTTGAATGTGAGACTATTAGGAAATTTTAGGAACTTCTTGGAATGGGAAGCTGAAAATACCTTCTAGAAAAAGACAGTAACAAACCACTTCTGAACTATTTTGCCAAGAAAATAACATGGACATGTCTGTTTAGTAACTAAGAATCAAACTCAATTTGAGAGAGATTTTATCTTAAGCCAAGTTGCCACAAATGATATAGAAAGCAATAATCTACAGAACATATAAACACAAAGATCTTCTTTTGGACATGTCCTTGGATTACATATTAGAGAAGGTTGCTCCTACAATGATAAACACTATGCCAGTTTGTTTGACTGGATCTATCTCATTAATTCTTGGCAAATACAGTCAGGAAAGTATGCTTAGGTTAAGAAGGGCCAAAAAAACAAACTCCTGAGCAGCAAAATTTCTCCTTAGAATCGATTAAAAAGCACTCTGGTGTCCAAGATAGAGTTGATAATTAAAGTAGTTAGTTAACTAATTAAGAAAAAAGGCAGATTTTAAGGTCAGTTGAGCATTACATGTTTCTATTTCAGAACCTTCTAGAACAGCAAGTTTATTTTCTACATCCTCTAAAGAAGTAAACAGTCTCTTATTTCAAGCCTGTAACTATTTATTAAACATATTTATATGGCACGCATCTTTAAGCATTTTGTGTGGTAACAAAAAACAGAATAAACATAGTAGAAAAAGACAACAACTGATTGAAAGCATAGCGAAGGACTATTAAAAAAACCCATTAAAACCTAAAGATAAAATGCACATACTGGGTTCCTCTAACATCCTGATTCTGGTACATGGAGAAACAACCAAATCTTCAGGGTTTTCCAAAACACTGCATGGGATTTGGGCCAGCCAAATCTCACGGTGAGATTGTTCTGGCACATAGATAGACAAGGCTGAAAGAAACACCACTCACTTGATCCACAGTTGATCAGGAAAACTATTTGTCTATTTAATAAATTTATAGGCTGCTTATTCCCAGGGGTGGTGGTGACTCACAATCAAAACAGAATATAACAAAACAATCAAAGTTGAAAACCACAAAAACAACGTAAAAATAGTAGCCAAGATGACTCACAACCACTCAAACAAGCTATGACATGGGCTGACCCATGGTATCAGGGCACCAAACTCAATCGCAAAGATAAGTTTTTAAGGCCTTGGAAAGGCCAACATGGTTGGGGCAAGTTTAATTTTTTTTTTTTTTTAGGGAGAGATGATGTTTCAGATGGCAAGCACCATGGCATTTAAAGCTCTCCTCCTGGGTCTTAACAGATAATAGTTTCTTAAAGACAGGACCCAGAACATGTCTCTCCTGCCAAATCTAACCCCAAACCACAGAGGGTTTTAAAGGCAACGAGGACCTTGAATTGCACCATCTAATCTTACTCTTTGTCCTGCCCCAGAAAAAGTTGTTGGGGGTAGAAGCCAAAGAATGGGGCATTACAGTGACCATGGATGGCAGAGCTAGGTCATGCTTAGAATAGAATAGAATAGAATAGAATAGAATAGAATAGAATAGAATAGAATAGAATAGAATAGAATGAATAGAATAGAATAAGAATTCTTTATTGGCCAAATGTGATTGGACACACAAAGACTTTGTCTTTGGTGGATATGCTCTCAGTGTTGGAAGGTTCAGCTAGAGGTACCAGCTAGAGGTCACCGGGTCATTTCAAGACCAGGAATTTCATTGGGTGACTGGAGCAGGCATCTTTGAGTCCAAACTGCCCCCCCCCCCAGGCCTGTTTGGGAAAGCTGGAGGACACAGTGTTATGGATGCTACTTTTAGCTTTTTGAGCAAAGACAGCAGGTAAAAGTAAACATTGTAATTAAGGTAATATGTTTCTGGACTTGAATCTGGGCTTGTACATTTTGCTATTGGTGATCTAAAGCACCTTTGTGGATCAGCAGGTGGGGGGAGAGGAAATGGTTCTGTGTGAGGGGGAGATCCGTGTGCTTGGATGCACAGTTCCATTTGTACAATCGATGGACACTTGTGCACACCTGTGAAGGTCCATTTGTACAAGCAGTGGCCATGCCTGCCACTCACACAAGTGGACCTTTATGCGTGCACAAGTGGAGCTATGCGCACGTGCTTGCCTGCCACTTGTGTGGCCCATTTCTGAATGGATTGCAGCCTAGTACTGGGCCATGGCCCAGGGATTGGGGACCCCTAATCTAAAGGCATGCTCCTGGCTCCACTTGTTCTTAAGACCATTCTCCCCTATCAATTGTAGCATAATGGCCATAATTCAAGTATCAGGTGGCAGGGAGCCCATTCTTTTCCAACAGGAAACATAGTACATAAGGTACTAACGAGATCATTCTTGCATTATTCTAAAGAGTTAAATTTAGACATGTAAGTACAGCATATCATTTTAAAACTTGTCTGACTCGTTTGCACTTCAATCTCTCGGTCCTATTATGCTGACAAGTCTCAAACCGAAAAGAAAATGAAAGCAAATGTAGAGAACACTTTTTGCTTTGCGAGTAGACTGAACTTCAGAGGTATCGACTCTTTGACAACAATAGTGGAATCTGTTACTACCATACTACCAAAAAACTGGAGTGTGGCTTATCAGGTACAACTTTCTGTTACTAAAGAATCCAAGTATTTTTAGGAACCGCTGGTGCTTTGTTGCTTGCTCTATCTTGCTGCTCTGTTAAGATTTTATGCGGTGAAATCTTTACTGGCACTATTTTTTAAACAAAATATGACTTTCAGCGTGCAGATATGTGAGTACGTGGCTGAATGTTCTGCATTTTCAAAAATATGCAATATGAAATATGAATGTATCTGTAGAAATATGAATGTATCTGTAGTTCTAGGTGAAGTCTGTGACTTTCATTCCCTTACTGGCTGTGAATGATAGGAGCTATATTCCAACAGGTATGAAAGAAGAAAGCCTGGTCTAGAAGAACACAACTGAAAGGAAAAGAATAATTATAGGAGCAAATGACTGGACAGGGAGACTGAACTGAATATCTTCCCTTTTCCTTGTCAATCGCTTTTGATTTTTGATCATTTGATTCAAATATTGTTTGGTAAACTGTAATTTGTAGTAAGAGTAAATCTGTGCATATGTGTAAGTGAATGCTTCCACTTTGCTATTTGTCTAATTCTTCTCCTTCTGAAGATCACTAGAGGTTTTTGAAAATAGACTGGACAACTTTTTGACTGGGATGGTATAAGACTCCTTCCTTGAATAGGGGGGTCTCTGGAAGGGATTTCAGAAGATCTCTGAAATCCCTTCCAGGCTCATGATTCTAAGTTCTAAAGCAACAATATGACCTCTCAGGAAACATACACAGCTGCAGAATAGAATAGAATAGAATAGAATAGAATAGAATAGAATAGAATAGAATAGAATAGAATAGAATAGAATAGAATAGAATTCTTTATTGGTCAAGTGTGATTGGACACACAAGGAATTTGTCTTTGATGCATATGCTCTCCGTGTACATAAAAAGACAAGATGCATTCATCAAGAGTCACAAGGCACAACACCCAGTGACAGTCATACGGTACAATAAGCAATCAAATCATACTAGGAAACAATCAATATCAGTATAAATCGCAAGGATACAAGCAACAAAGTTACAGTTATGCAGTCACAAGTGAGAGGAGATGGGTGACAGGAACGATGAGAAGACCAATAGTAATAGTAATGCAGCCTAATGTGAATAGTTTGACAGTGTTGAGGGAATTATTTGTTTAGCAGAGTGATGGCGTTTGGGAAAAAACTGTTCTTGTATCTAGTTGTCTTGCTGTACAGTGCTCTATAGCGTCATTTTGAGGGTAGGAGTTGAAACAATTTATGTCCAGGATGCAAGGGATCTGTAAATATTTTCACAGCCCTCTTTTTGATTCGTGCAGTATACAGGTCCTCAATGGAAGGCAGGATGGTAGCAATTGTTTTTTTCTGCAGTTCTAATTATCCTCTGAAGTCTGTGTCTGTCTTGTTGGATTGCAGAGCCAAACTAGACAGTTATAGAGGTGCAGATGACAGTCTCAATAATTCCTCTGTAGAATTGTATCAGCAGCTCCTTGGGCAGTTTGAGCTTCCTGAGCTGGTGCAGAAAGAACATTATTTGTTGTGTTTTGTTGTACTTTTTTGATGATATTTTTGATGTTAGTGTCCATTTTAGGTCTTGAGATATGATAGAACCTAGAAATAACATAAGGAAGTTATTGCAGTTTTGAAGATTAAGATCAAGTCATTCATGGTGCTTGTGAATGTGTGTGAAAAAAGCAAAATGCTGGTATACATTGCGTACAAATACATAGGGGCAGGTGTACAATAGTAATATGCTGTACCACCAACCTGTCATTTTACACAGCTCCCCATGACTGCATCCAGCCATTAGAAGTACAGTTTTTCAGTAAGGTGTCCTTAATGCTCGCATTAAGGATAAACAGAGAAGAATAAAAGTACCTTCAATCCATTTTGTTGACACCATGTCTCAGTAATCATTGTCCGTTAAGTGTGTTCATTACATTACTGTATTTGTAGCATTCTTTTTAGGATATAAGCCATTCAAAGTAACTTCCTGATATATTAAGTACATCAGAGAAAACATTATAATCATCCATTTCAACTTCATTCAGAAGCATCTTGCATAATGAGAAGATTCAAAATAAGGAGAAACCACAATATTGCAATACTGAGATCATCAGGAGCAGATCTGAATTTAAGGTGCCCAAAATGGGGGGGCGGGGGAATTGTGGTGGCCATTGCTCAGGTTTTTGGGCAAATATGCAGAAGGCGAACCACCACCGAGAAGACCTGGCTATGGTGTTCCCACAGTGGGCCATCTGTTTCTAATCTCACTAGACAAGCAGATTCATTTGGTCCTGAAGATATCAGGGCCCTGGGCCATATGGGACTTGAAAAGTACCTTAATAATCAGCCCTTGAATTGCACCTGATTGCTCACTGGCAGCCATTAACTTAGAAAAAAGCCACTAAGATTTTTCTGAAGAACAGCCATTAAATAGGAATTCTCTGGGGCCAAACCAACAGAAGTTCCACATATATTAATTTTCACATAAGAAAGTGGCTACAGCTTTGATGATCACCTACCTGTACTGTTTTTTTTTCCCCCATGCACTGAATGTTTATGCTTGATAGATTGCAAACTATGTTTGGGTCAAGGATATGTTAGATGTTTACATAAAGTAATTTATGGTTTTTGGTTTTTTAGTTGCGCTTTCCTGGAAGTGGCATGACAGTTCTTAAAACATTTCTTAAAACAACTTCCTTAAGTAGATGCCAAAGCCTAAACTAAGGAAACTTTTGCAACTGTTGCTCATGTCCATGCTTGAGAACAGCTTGGATTAATTGTTTAGATGTATATTTTCTATTTCCAAGATGTCATAATTCTGCTTCCTGGTATAAAATCTCTATGCATGTTTTCCCCAATAGTAGACTGTGATCCAATGGAGATCAGATGTTTGCTACCTATTACTTAACTTGTTTACTTCATGCATATTACTTCAGTGTGGGCAAAGTCCTTCATGCCAGTTGATTACTGTGATTGTGATAGGAATGCCCTTTATCATTGGCTCACTGGTTACTGCTCTCTATGCACATTAAAAAAATAAATAAATATATTGATAAGAGTAGAAAACCAACCTTCCTCTTCCCTCCCTCCCCCTTCCCCTCCCCCTCCCTCCCTTCTTTGTCTTTTTCCCTTTCTGATCCAAATATATTAAAATGATTTAAAAATATGTTTTTCTTTTATTGGGCCATTGGCAGATGCATCAGACAGGAACGTATCAAGTATGCAGGAGTCAATGTAGGAGATATCTAGTTAATTGTGTGATCAGCCAATCACGCCTTTACCAAGATATGCTACAATTCAGGAAAGCACAGCAATTACAAAATTCTACCCAGTCAAAATCTTTACTTGCAGATCAGTAAAATGAACAATTACAATTAAACCCAGTACAACAATCATCTGGGACAATGGCTTATAGTTATAACTATGTTAGAATGCAGCTATAGCCATATTTACTAAAACAGATGTTAAACTAGAAACTGTCAGCAAAGTGATATAAATAGTCCCACCACATACTCACTAGTCAAATAAAAATGTCTTTATATGTTTTTAAAAGATCCTCAACCCTTATGGACCCTTATATTATCACTTACATTGCATTGTCTACATATCATACATACATAAATGTATACATACATATTTGCTGACACTTTATTTAAACTAAATTTGTGTCTCAGTGATTGCATGACCTCTGTAGATGCTATATGCTAAATAAATGAATGAATGAATGAATTAAAACTCTTATGGAACGTGAAAAGAAGGAAGAAGCTTGTCCCAAAGATGCTTTTTTATTTTCCCTTCAAATAGCACTAGCACTTAGACTTATATACCGCTTCATAGTGCTTTTACAGCCCTCTCTAAGCAGTTTACAGAGTCAGCATATTGCCCCCAACTGTCTTGGTTTCATTCCTCATCCAAGAAGCTTCAATGGTGGACAATGGAAGGTTGTATATTCCTTGTAGTCATCTGATCATTAGCACTCTTTCAAAGAGTTGTTGAGGCCACTTGGAGGTTTATCTGTGCCCTCAGGATCATCTGTAGAAGTGCAAATGGGTGTTGAACCTTCTTGGAACTGCTGCAATGACTATGTTGTAAACAGGAGATAGATCATTCAGATTAACAGAGTTGGAAGGGACCTTGCAGGTCATCTAGTCCAACCCCCTGCCCAAGCAGGAGACCCTTCATCTGCCTCTACCTAGGATCGAATTCACAACCTCCTGATTGTGAGGCAAGAGCTCCACCTCTAGGCCACAGTTAGAGGATGTTGTATCCCTCCTGTTTACAACACAGTCATTCAATCACGGTGCTCCACATAATGAATAAACTATCTTTCCATTTTTGACTCTGGCTGGTAGAGAGTGAAAAATCCAATGATATCTGTGGCATGTGGGTTTTGTGGCCAGGCTGGATGCTTTGGATCTGGTGTGAGTGGGCAGAGAAAAAAAAAAGGGGGTGGGAATGAGAAGTTCAAATATGGCCTTAACGGAATAACAGAATTGGAAACGAGCCTTGGAGGTCTTCTAGTCCAACTCCCTGCTCAAGCAGGGAGTTGACAAATGGTTGTCCAATCTCTTCTTTAAAATCTCCAGTATTGGAGCCTTCACAACTTCTGGAAGAAAGTCATTTCAATGATTAATTGTTCTGCAGGAAATTTCTCCTTAGTTGTAGGTAGGTTCTCTCTCTGATTAGTTTCCATCAATTGTATCTTGTCCTATCCTCAGTGCTTTGGAGAACAGGTTGACTCTCCTTTTCTTTGTGGCAGCCCCTAAGATATTGGAACACTGCTATCATGTCACCCCTAGTCCTTCTTTTCATTAAACTAGATGTATCCAATCTTCATATGTTTTAGCCTCCAGTTTCCTAATCATCTTTGTTGCTCTTCTCTGCACTCTTTCTAGAGTCTCAACACCTTTTTAATATCTTGGCAACCAAAACTGCATGCAATATTCCAAGTGTGAAGTTATCAAGGCATTATAAACTAGTATTAACACGTCACATGGTCTTGATTCTGTCCCTCTATTAATAGGACTGTCTTGGCTTTTTTGGCAGCTGTAGCACATTGCTAACTTATATTTAAGTGATTGTGCCCTAGGCCTTGAAGTACAGATAGGCTATCCTGGGGGCAAACAAGTTGCTTTGGTTGCTAGCTAGGATTTGTTAGAAGAAATATCCTTCTGGGTTCAGTTCAAGTGAGGAAAAAGACACTGGAAACATAGAGACTGCTTGGAAAGATGATTTAATGGTGGACAGGAATCACATGGCTTGAGTTCCTGAAAAGAAAAGGTGATCACAATGTTGTTCAAAATGTTGGCTGAAGAAGCAAAGAAAAGACCGAGATGCTGAGAGTGTCTGAGTTTATACCCTTTGATGGGCCCCACCTTAGTGTTTCCTGTTCCTGTATAAGAAATATATCATGATTGGTTGTCAAACTCCCGGGGGGCAAGGGCCTTAGCTAACTTTGTAGGTTGTCTCTCAAGCTTGCTTGAGCCTTGGTGAGTTTCTGTTGCTAGATGGGTCCTATTGTGGTGCAGATGATGGCCCATTGACAAAGGTGGGGGGAATGAGTTTCTGCCTCTGGCCCATTGACAAGGGGGGAGGCAGGAAGCTGCAGGGAGCTGCTTTGTCTTTAAAACATGTTTCTCCATTTCTCATCCAGGGAAATGTAATATTCTGCCTTTTTAATATTTCCTAAAATATTTCATTCTTCTAGGAGAAGGGTGGGTGCTAACCTCCTACAGATAGAAAAAGCATTCTAATGGGCAGACATAATATATGGGTATTGAAGTTTATATGAAGCATATAAATTAAAAAACAAAAAAAAAAGTCCAGGAGAGAAAAATCAGAGCGAGAGAGAGTGAGAGAGAAGGAAAATGGAGAGGCATGTCACGTTTGAGTCTTTGCCCTTCTGAGGCATCAAGGCAGTGAATGCCTTAGGAGAGACATATGGGAAATCAGACTAGAAAGAGAGATTGCTTCAGTGTCCTGGGCCATTGGACTGTGTAAATGCTGTTTCCTGCCTCCAGAAGAAGAAAAAGGTTGAAGATGTCACCTGGAGGCTTCTTGGGACAAGAGAAGTGACAAACAGACAAAGGGATATGCTTCACCCAATACCCAAAGTGGACGGAACAAAGAGTCATGGTTTTTATTTATTTTATTTTTTTATTTTTATTTAGATTTATATGCCGCCCTTCTCCAGAGACTCAGGGCGGCTTACAATGCGCTAAGCAATAGCCTTCATTCTTTTGTATATTTATACAAAGTCAGCTTATTGCCCCCACAACTGGGTCCTCAATTTACCTACCTTAGAAAGGATGGAAGGCTGAGTCAACCTTGAGCCTTGGCGAGATTCGAACCTGCAGTAATTGCAGGCAGCTGGTCTTAATAACAAGCTTAATAACAGGGTGCCTTAGACCACTGTACTACCAAGGCTCTTGTACTACCTGCAGACAGACAACCAGAGACCTTGGAGAAGTCCCTCACAGGGCAAGACTGGGCAGAAGACTCAGAGGGAGGTGCATCACACAACTTCAGTTGTGGAGGAATGTCTGTCAGGATCCAAAAAGAGAATAAAGAATGATTTTATGTGCACACCAAAACCAGCCAACTCCCTTCTTATCTTCCCTTTCTTATCTTTCTGAGTGAAAAGCTGAGGGAGAGGGAAGAGGAGGAAAAAGGGGAGAGTTAGTTGCTAAAGGCAGACTAGGTGTTTGCTAACAATATAGCTCTGGGACAAAGGTAAAGTTAGAAGAGTTTTGATACTTTGCTGCAATACTTTCACTTTGGTTTAATTCTGGTAATAAATTGCTGTGTATGCATGAAGTTAGCTGTAAAAGTACCCTTAGTCACGCAAAAATCTTGGCTACATACTTGTAGTGATTGTGTTAGTGGGAAAAATATGCTGCAATATTACTTGCTGAAATTATCTAATTTTAATATAGATTGAAAATGTATATTTTAATTAAAAGGTGATAACACATGCTCCTGGGAAACAAGCACAGTAATTTTAAGTGCAAATTCTGCAGAAAAGTCCTTATCTTACTGCATGTATATGCAGAAATCTCTGGAAAACATTATCTCTCCCTTTTGCACTGAATGTCTTCCATCAGTTGAAGGCCACCAACTAAATCTCAAATCAGAAAAGAGAGGACACTAATAGTGATAGAGAAGAGGAATAAAGTGTTATAAAATAATAAAATAAAATTAATTACATTTGCCAACATGTTATATCCAGATTCAGGAAAGAGATTAAAGTCACAAGAATTGTCCAAAGAACACTGAAAAGAACACTGAAAAAAAACACAAAGAGATCTTAAAAAAGAAGCAAGGATCTTGAGAAAAATAACATAATTTGAAATGCTGATACAAAATCAAGAACACACATTAGAATGTATTTACAAATTGCTGGTGAAACGCAACATGGACACAGAACAAATCAAAAGTGCTATGGTATAATTGATATTAAAATTCAAAGAAACAATCACAATGGCCCTGTGGGAAGAGTTACCAAAAAAAAATCTATAAAAGTTACTCTGAACTATAATTAACTCCATCAATGATTGCCAAGACAGACAAGGCACATGACAACAAATGTTGGAAATGCCATAACAGAGATGGAAAATTTTATCACATGTGATGGTTATGTTAATAATAAAAGCTCAAAGGAACTGGAAAGAAATACATTAAAACATTCAAAAAATTCTAAAACTAAAAATTGAACTAAAAGCACAATTATTTTCTTAGGTATAATTCCAGGAAACATAAATGTAAAATATACAGTTTACTATTATATATGTTGACAGCCACAAGAATAAAATTCCCAGAGAAACTTTGCAGAAGGTATCAGATTGGGAGACTAAAATTAGAGAATATACTGCAGTGGCACAATTTGCAGTATATACAGTATACACAGTAAATTTAAGTAAGAAAGGATGGTTTATATACAACTCATTGCACAGCAAGGCAAATTTAGACGTTTGGAATATGGCTTCTAGGACCTAAACAATAACCCCATTTGTTATAATAATAACAATAACTTTATGAAATAGCCTTTTCATAAAGCTGTTCTTTTATTTTATTTTATCTTATTTTACTTCGTTTTCTCTTTTGTACAGTATTTCACTATTTCAACAATAAAGATAGATTTAAAAAACCACTTTGTATTACAAACTGAATGATCTCTGGAGCTCCATCCCACTATAATTATAATTTGATACCATGTGCTGGATTTACTATATAAATGCAAACTCACTGAAACTCTGTGATGGCAGAAGGAAAAAATGTGAACCGATAACAATTCTTTTAACTCATACTAGACACAGATATATCAGCGAAAACATTCACATCATCATGTGTTATGGGGAGAAATTATAATAGATGTTGAGAGCCATTTGTTTAAAATCAGTTACGAGTTAACCTTATGTTACTGATACACTCAAAAGAGACAGGGGGTCCTCTTTTGGTGAGAAAAGAAATAACAGAATATTTTTATAAATGAATGTAGTACAGGCTTCTAATCTGACTGAAATGTTTTGTTTTGCTATTGTCATAAGGTGACTTACTTCACAGCTAGTACCGTGACATTTTAAAGATATGAATTGGTAGTACCAATAGATGTTTTTATATATAAAAAATACTTAAATATCTTGACAATCATTTGAAGTGAACAACTGCTTCAGTGGTGGGATTAAAAAAATTTTACTACGAATTTGACAGCCCTGTCCTAGAATTTACCTTGCAACTGCATGGGCTGCTTTTTTTTTTTTTTTTTTTGCATCAACCAAATGTTGCTTCACAGCTTGTAATTAGAATGACAAACAAGCTTGACACCAGAGCCTGACATAATAGGCTGAGCAAAAATAACTGGGCTAAAGGCATTCAGCTAGCTTTCATGGCTAAAGTTAAAGGTTTCCTTCGCACGTATGTGTTAGTCGTTCATGGCTCTAGGGGGCGGTGCTCATCTCCGTTTCAAAGACACCAGCGCTATCTGAAGACGTCTCCATGGTCATGTGGCCGACATGACTAAACGCCAAAGGCACACAGAACACTGTTACCTTCCCACCAAAAGTGGTCCCTATTTTTCTACTTGCATTTTTTACATGCTTTTGAACTTCTAGGTTGGCAGAAACAGGGACAAGTAACGGGAGCTCATCCCATTATGCGGCACTAGGGATTCAAACTGCTGAACTGCTGACCTTTCGATTGACAAGCTCCATTCTCCTGGTTTGTAGCCCCTTCACCATTACACCAAAGTGGCTCTCAGTTACCATTTTCTTAAATGATGATGAGATTTTTTTTTCTTCTACAAAACTTTTTTTAAAAGAAAGGTTTTAATCCAGAAGTACAGGGTAAAGAATTATTTGGGAATAATTTTATTCACAGATTATTCTAATTGAGCAAGATGGAGAAGGAATACTTAATGTCGTCATTTTTCAACAGGAAAAACGTTGATTGCTATTTCAAGTTGGTGACTCAGTTTCTGAAATGCCTTCCGCTGAGATTCCAGAAACAATTGGTGTTAATATGGCATCTTTACGAATGTTACTATTCACTTTCCTACTGTTGAATGTTTTAAGTGACATTCAAGCAGGTAAATGTTTTCTATTGTCTCAGTATATTTTATAGCCACAATATTTTTATACTGCCTTATAACAGGACATAGGTGAGATTCCTTCAACTGCATTTCCTTTACTCTTATTTTACTTTGCCTTTTATTGGAGAAGGAAAAAAGAGTAATCATTTCTAACATTAAAGCTACAGCTGCTGTATTTTTAGAGAATTGAAATGGTGTGTCTCTATTAATGCATGTTAACTATGTCGAGTCATATAATACTAATAACCTGTACACTAGCCAGGTAGGGAGGAAGAATATCCTGCAAGTTTATGCTAAGGACCAAATGCCAAACTCATGATTTTTAGAAATTATTACAAACTTAATGTAAGTCAAATCAATAAAAACAATTCAGTTATAGGATACAAACCATCTGTTTTTTAATATGTTTGTTTGCTTGTATGATTCTTATAAGGCTTTAGAAAGAGGAAATATTACTTAATAAAACATGGCTGAAAAACTAGATATTCTTGTTCATTGTTATACATTCAGTTATTCAGCTTATATATTATTTTTAACTGTCATTTTTTTTTGCTGTATCCAATTAATGGTTGTTATGAATTCAGTTTATCCATGCCTCAGACAAAACAGAGGTGACAACACTGAATAGCAGCCATTGTCCCAAACTTTAGGAGAGCTTTCCTATTAGCCTTATTGCCTGAACTACTAAACACTGAACTTTTTCTATCCAAATATGTCTTCTGGCTATAGAAATAGCATTCTTAATTCCTAATAGTTTAGGTTTGGTAAATGAAAAACATGCAGTGTAATGGTATGTCTTCTGCTTTTTTTTCCCCAGGGGATGATTGTTTATCATGTTCAAAACCCAACATTGCAGAACTTGGAAAAGACATTATGATTAAATGCAAGAATAATGCACCCATTGTATCTATGGGAATAAGATTCTGCCCCCTTAAGGGAGACTGTATTCCCAAAGGTGTCATCAAAAAACCGAATAGCACCTTGACTGATGGTGAAACAACATTGGAATTTCACAACAATACAGCTTCTCTGAGTATTAACCCAATAAAGATATCACATGAAGGAACCTATATATTAAGTTATATAACTAGAAACTGTATGGATAATCTGAGTATATCTCTAGAGGTGTTTGGTAAGTCTGAGCCTATGATCAATGAACCTCAAGAAACTAGAATTGAATGTGTGTTGGTCAAAATCAATTACTACAGCAACTGCCATTCATAAAATTTCACTATTAATACTGGCTTTCACCATAAACATCAGCACAGGGGGAGGAGAGGGATGGAGTCAATGACTAAATGCCAATCCTGACATACACTCCAGCCTTCATATACTTGTGTGCTACCTTGCAATCCAAGCATAAAAGGTGGGGCTTGCATGCTGACATTATGTAGATCTGCCCTTGGGAAGGAAGATGAGTAAATGAGCCATTGAAAGGGAACTTGGAGAAAAGATTATACAGTACTAAGAAAGATGGAAGGGTGAGAAAGAAACTCAAAACAATCCTGCCTTGATTTTGCTTAGTGTTGCAGAAAGAAATTTGGAAAGGGCAAAGTCAAGAAACAAGTGTGGCGAGGGTTCTGGGGTGCTTTTTGTTGTTATAGGTGGTAGAATAACAGAATCTCCAAATCTTGTCAGAGTTTATCTCTACCTATCATATACTAAACTGAACATGGGGTCATTCTGTATTATTTTCTCAGGCTTTCCTTCTAACAAAGTATGCCCATGTAGTCCTTCACTTTTATTTCCAGGAATGTTAATCAGATGCTTCCAGAAAGCTTCAAATCAGTCTTCTCCACTCTGCCTATTCACTAAGCAAGCATTTAGAAGTATGGAACAAACAGAATGTCATAAACATGAATTCTTTGAAATATACTTTCAAAATCCTTTATAGAAAAGACTATTTGGTCTAGTGATTAAATCATCAGGCTAGAAACCAGGAAACTGTGAGTTCTGGTACATTTTTTAAAATTGTACAATCCAGAATAATGTTTGTTTGTTTGTTTGTTTTTACCCTGCCTTTATTATTTTTATAAATAAATCAAGGTAGATAAGGTAGATAGTATGTCTTTCTCCTCCTATTTTCCCCACAACACTTGTGAGGTGTGTTAGACTGAAAAAGTGAAAGACTGAAAGAGAAAGTTAGTTGGACAGCCTATAATAAATAAATAAACAAACAAATTAACAAACAATCAAACAAGTAAATAAATAAATCATTGTTCTTCTTTTAAAGTCTAGAATATTATTGCAGCAAAATATATCATAATATTAACTGCAAAAATCTAATTTTGAATTCCCCCAGTTAATTATATGCATTTGATTTGCCAATTATGATGACTCTGGAACTATCCTGTGGGCATCCACAGCAATCACTAGTTTGCAGTTACTCTATTTTTTTAAATAATGCAATGAAAAAAAATTAGAGCTTAATGATAACTGGCTTGGATCTATACATTCCTGAAGAGAGACAAGGGATGGGAGTGACACAAATATAACCGGAAAAACAGTAGATCTTGGAGAATCCCTTTAAAGTCTATGAGCCATGTAGTTCTGTTCTGATTAGTGCATTGTTATATTTTGGCAGCACCATATACGAATCCTCAAGTCATGAAACAGGAAGACACTCTTATTTGTACAGCATCTGGAGGTTACCCAGAGGAGAAGTTCTATTGGGTTTTTAAGGGTGGAACTAATCTGACCCATAAATCAACATCTCAGTCTGTGAAAAATGAGAATGGGTCATTCAGCCTGAGCAATACCCTTCAACTGGAATCTGCTCCCTCTGAAACTGAATATTGCTGTACTTTGAACCACACAAGAGTTCCTAGCAGACAAGGTATGTTTCATTTTTTCATTGTCACATCTATACTTCAAATTATCAACAACCAATCTAGGAACATAGGTAATTAAAATATTAAAAGAACAGTTAGCATAAGATATCTTTCCCAAGATAGGCTTGACAATTGTGTTTGTTCAGATTCCACTAAGATCCCACTGTTTTCACTGAATAATTTTGGGTGGGTAATGAGCATTTTGGAGTGATTAAATGGAAATGTAATTATAAGATCTTTGGGGGTGAATTAATAAAAATGTGAGATTGATGCTTGGGGGCCAATCACTGTCTTGCATTGAGTTCTTGGCAAGCTACTGTCTGGAGTTCTGTCTAGAATTCCAGCAGCACATGAAGACCACCACTTTGTCATGTTACTTGTTCCATGTATCTAATATTCAGTATAATATTAGGTTAACATTTGGTTTCTATGACAAAACTAATAGGATGTACTTTTTGTTGACAGACCTGGGAGAAGAGATTCTTTCAACAGAATGGGGGCAATGGTTTTAGTTTGATGGCAAAGCAGGGACTTGTAGTGGTCCCACTTTTGGGAAGCAAATGGCTTCCTTCTATGTTGTATCTTTGATAAGCATCATACACTTTGCTAGATAACAGCATATAGTTGAACTTGGTTGAATCAAAAAAGCTAAGTAGGATCAAAGTTCATACCTGGATTTAAAACCACCCAAGAAAACCCAGAACTAGACTAAATTTGGAAGAAACATGTCTGTGTAGTTGCCAAGAAAATCATATGGACATGTCCATGAAATTACCTGGAATTTAGCACAACTTCAAGAAGATACCTGTATTTCCCCGAAAATAAGACCCTGTCTTATATTTTTTTGAACCCCGAAATAAGCGCTTGGCCTTATTTTCAGGGAGGTCTTATTATTTTGGGACGCGTGGAGGAAAGCAGAGGAAATGGTGGGGACTGGCTGTGCATGCGTTTAAATATTTTCGGGGAGGACTTATTTTCGGGGGAGGGCTTATTTTAGTGCATGTGCTCAAAAGCCCGATTGGGCTTATTATCAGAGGATGCCTTATTTTAGGGGAAACAGGGTAGTACCTTTTAATTGTCCAGGTGGAAAATTAACTCCATTTTCTTAATTTTATACAGTCTCTACATGTATGATACTTCAAAATGTTAGCACTTCCATGATTATAGCAGAAAAGACTACGCTGAATACACCTATGATAATAATCATTGTGATAGCTATTATTTCATTGGCTTGCATTTTATTGGCTGTAACGTGGTGGAGAACAGGGAGGAAAAATTATCTTCTGCAGGTAAGGGCTAACTAGAGATTAATATTTTTCAATACCTAACGACCATTTACTTTAACCATTGTTATAAAGCCAGACATGGCAAAAAAAATTGGGGCTTTCTTATTTGGCATGAAAACATTGTATCTGCATCATTATTTATCATCTCTGGGACCTCATACTTAAATATTCAATCTATCCTCATACTTAAATGTTCTATCTATGGTGCCTAGAAAATATTGAAATATATTTGAATGGACCCAATGTTAACTTCCTTGGTTTGAATCCAATAAATCACCAACCCATGAGCCATAGTGTTCATGGGAAACTCCAACCCTTTTCACTGCATCCTATGTCCATGTGCCTTTTTTTCTACCTGTATTTTATCTATTAATATCATTTCCCAATAACTGAAAATGCATGGGGAATCCTATAATGTGCAAAAATCTTGAGATTATATTTGAATTTATTTTTCTTGCTAGTAAAAAAATATCTCAGAAGAAGGCAATAGTAAACCATATTTATACTGTTGTTAAGAACACTGCATGACTATCTGAATATAGGTTATCAGGAGCTTAATTAAAAGGAGACTTTGGCCTGTTTATTGCCTTAAAGAAAAAGCATGGGTCCATTTAAATAATTTCTAATACTCAAACCCTGAAAATGAATGGAAACAATTACAGAACATATTTTATGTTATAATATATATTATACATTTTAAATTTTTATATTTTATTTTATTTACATTACAGTTCATTTAAAGTGTGTTCACTGCCAGAATCACTGTGATGAGGGGATTACCCATGTAAATAAAATAAAGAAAGGTTAATTAAAAATGAACAATAAAAGTAGACTTTTTGCCTCATTAAAAAAAGATAGAAAATACTCATTAACTGTTTTCTTGATCTTGTTAACTTCACTATTTGTTTATTCCTTGTTTATTGTGCAGAAATGGCAGAAATTCACTCATGCAAACAAATCCATGTATTTCTTCCAATTCAATGTAAGTATATAATGTATCTCTTTATAGGTCTATATATATGTTGACATACTTGGTAGTTACTTACATAACATAACCTACCCAGTGGCTTTCTTGCTGCTACCTCTGTAATCTCCCTTTTATCCATCAGGGAAAGAAATTGCTTTTAATCCAATCAGTAAATATAAGGTTGTCTCGAAAGGCAATTTGAAACTGAGTCAAAAGTAGCTCTGGGGAGATCCATTGCAACTTTGAATGAAGTGATCAGTCATAAATCAAGAACCAGCTGTAATGTATATGAACCATATGCTCTATGGATGATCATTGTTCCATCCTATGTCCTAAGTAGAATCTTTGAATAGGACACACACACAAATATTAAGACTTCTTAAGTCACATTCATCATTTGGAGATTGAATAAATAAAAAGCAATTCAAACAATTTAAAGGCAAATAATTTATTGTTTTATTTAATAACATTAGCATACAAATAATTACACGGTCTTCAGCTTTATGAGTCTATTCAATCTTTTTGTTCATTTGTTTTTTTACTTACCAGGAAACAAATCCATCGTAGTTGGAAGAACATACTTGCATATACAGCTTAATAAAAGAAATGGTCTTCAGGCTTTACACAAGATTTAATTTCTATTTGCTTCTAGTATTTAAACTCTGCAGAATCTTCCCTTCACCTTCAAATATGTACAGTAATGTGATCTAAATTGTAAATTTCCTTGGAGAAATTAGATTCATGACTTTTCTGAAAACTATGGACAAAATCAATTTACAGATGTAAATAATAATGAAGAGGTTGAACATTTTAATTTAAGAAGTTGCAATTGGGACTTCCGGTTGACGTTATGGTGAGAATGGCTGGAAAATAGCGGGCTCCGCTGAGCCTCACGAAATCCAGTTGGTAACCGCTGTCGGGAGACCCTAGCCGCCTTGTAGGGATGGTGAAGGAAGAAGAGAAGTACTACAGCACTATAGCCACAGTATGCTCAGTAAAAGTCAACTCAATACACACAAAGTCTAATACACAGAATAGAAGTAATAACATCTGGAAGATGGCCTGACCTTGACTTTACTTTTAGAAGACAACTTTTCACTTCTGAAGATTCTTAAAAGGAACTACCTTGCAAATAACTAAACTTTATTAAAATTGGCTATTGGATTATGGATCTGAAAGATTGGAGGAATCTAGTGGATTAACTTGAATTTGGACTATTAATGTTATTCAACAGAACATTCTATGAGACAAAAGAAGAAAGGTGACAGAAGAAAAGAGAAAAGAAGGAAAGTTAAATAAGACTTTAAAATTTGGACAATTGGAAGATATATAATTAGAAAACTATAAGGCTGTATATTATTAAAGAATTTTAAAGATCATAAATTTAGGGGTTTTGGAGGTATAATTATGGGATTGATGAAATTTTATTAAGCAGGAATTTTTAAATATTGAGACGGAACTATAGAAATATACTGAGTAATTTTTATTAAATTGTTATAAAATGGATTTACAGGGGATAATAGAGGCATAAGAGAAGGAGTGGCAAAAAAAAGGATTATTCTAGAGCCTCCATATTTACATAAGTGGACTAAGTCCAACCCCTTTTAATTTTGTTAACTCTTATCTAGCACCAAAATACTGTTCTAATGACTGAATATGTATATAGCTCATATAATCTCCTTCTAATACAATGTTATTCAAGGGAAAACCCAAAGGCAGACTTCAAGTCAATTAAGGTCATATCACTTTCAAACATTTTCTTCATGACAATAATTTGATTAGATAGTTAATATATCTACTAAAAAAAAGATAGAGGGCATTTTTGTTGCATTTGTTAGTTGTATTTTTGGAGACTTTAATGTATTTTTTTCTTTACCTTTTCCTTTTCTTTTTATGATAGTATGCAATTTAATATGTGAAATTGAAACTTAATAAAGATATTATTTTTTAAAAGAAACATTTTCTTTGCATCATTCCCACTGCTAGGCCCTACCGTCTCTTCCTACATCTGTTGAAGTTCTCCCTGCCAGTTTTCAGTTTCTCACAGATCTTTTTTTAAAAAAATCAACAATTTACTTCAAATTTAATGAATGTCTGCTTACATATATTGCCAGCTCAGAGTACTAAGTCTGTACTCTGCATTCAAGACAACTATATCATGGGCAGTTTTTTCTATTTAATGGGACATTCTGCTAATTACTTAGTATTAATTACACAGTATTTTTTTCCAGCAATCTGTTCAGGTTCAGATTCTGTAATAAAATGTAGTAAGGAGATGGATTCCCAGGAGAGAGAGGGCATATTCCAGAGGACTAAGATCTCCAAGATCCCTTCCAGCTTTACCTTGTTCTCTCTTGTTCTCTCTTGTCCTGTCCTGTCCTGTCCTGTCCTGTCCTGTCCTGTCCTGTCCTGTCCTGTCCTGTCCTATCCTATCCTATCCTATCCTATCCTGTCCTATCCTATCCTATCCTATCCTATCCAAGAATCCTCAGTCTGGTCAAGGTATGAAAACAATAAAGAACTCAGCTTGGAAGTATCACTATGAGTTATTCTAGGTTTGCGGCCTAACAGATGTATACCCTCCCAACATGGACTCCGGCTGAATTAAAAATCTCCCATTCCATTGGGTTTTAATTTGATAAATTATGTAATTTGATAAACTGATTATTTTTGGGGGGGTTAGGTGGGGAACTTTATCCTTTGTATTGTGGACACTTCATTTTAAAATATTACTGTTGTAATAAGAATTATTATTTTATTGGGTGGTTATTTTTTGAACATTATTAATACAATCTTCAAAAAAATCACCTAACAATAGAAATGGATCTGGTTTAATCAAATGTGTAAATAAATATTTCTGTCTGTTGTTATGTAGGCTTTCAGACATGTAAATACACATAGTTAATGATATATTTATATATATACTGTATGCAAGTTTTGGTGTATTCGGGTCTTTTCCCATGTAAGATTGAGAGTATCTTGGCGACGTTTCGACGAGGTCCCACTCGTCATCTTCAGGTTGGTGTCTTTGGCTTCGTGCTTGTGTGAGGAAAGCTTTCCTCACACAAAGTCATAGGAAGTCATAGGAAGAATGCCGTGATAAACCCCTTCCAAAAATGTTGCCAAGAAAATTGCAGGTACTTGTTGCCTGCAGTCAAGGCTAACTTGAAGGTGCACATACAGACTTATTATTCCCAATTTGTACATATTTCAACTGCTTTTGAAACTGTAGCTCTGTCATACACTTAACATATGATCTAAGCATGCAAGTAAATAACTTAGTTTTCTTAGCAAAAAACAAAAAACAAAACCCCAAAACAAAAGTTTGTTAGAATATATTATTTAATTGTTTAAATATATTATTTATATTAAATTTATAAATTTATTTTAACTCTGAATTAATGCCAATATATTGGCATTATATATATGAAATGGGCTGAGACTTACAGGCAACATTTTTCTGCTACTGTGACCATGTAATGGAACACTTTCCCTCTTGATTTCCAGAAATTGTTAACAACAGAGCTATTCCAGAGGGCCTTGGGAAATGTATGGGCACTAATACACAGCAAATTTTATGGCTGTTTTTATTTTTATTATGCTTCATTCTGCTTTTATGTTTGGAGTTATAAACCATTATAGGAGTTATTTTTGCTAAATATGGCAGTATATAAACACAACAAACAAACACAAGTATACGTAGCTTTATGCCACATGTTTGTGAATTGACATCTATGGAAAATGTAATGCATGAGACCCACCTAAAGCAGCCATGGAAGCAAAAAGGGTTTGGGAGACTTCAGCTGATGCAATTTGTCAAAACTGATGACTTTGAAGAAAAAAGAGGGCAGAGTTTCCACAACAAAAGGCAATTCTCTAAAATCAGGCAACTCCCAGATGAACTGGATGAGTGAAAGGCACTCTGGTCTATTTCATTTACCTATGAGAAAAAGCCAAGGTGGCACTGGCCAAGCCATCTTGGAAGTTTCATATATGTGAACTGTACTCCTTTGTTATCTTCCTGTATAATGAATGTTCTGTCTGGGTATTTAACCTTGATTCTTCTGGAATTGCAATCTAGATCAGGGGTCTCCAAATCCCTGGTCCATGGACCAGCACTGGTCCGCAGCATGCCCGCAACCAGGCTGCGCGAACAAGAGGAGTCCCATTCATGGGATGCAGGCAGCACATGAAATTGTGTCCCTGGTGCCCAAAAGATTGGGGGCCACTGATCTAGATTATGAGCATCTAAGACTACCAAGGAAAACACTGGTAGGTCAAGCAGGGGTGAAATGCTCCCGGTTTGGACCGGATTGGACGATCCGTTAGCAATGGAGGCGGGTAGTTCGGAGAACCGGTAGCAAAAATCCCTGCCCCCCCACCGGCCTTGCCCACCCAATTGCCCAGTCCTCACTTGTCTACTTGGCAGCTTGCTGCTTCCTTCAGGCTCGCTTGCTTTTCCTGCCTTGCTTTGGCTGCTGCAATCCTTTGCATCCGCTAGCAATTTAATCTGCCTGCCTGCAATCAATGCAATCGGTGAGCAGTTCAATCTGCCTGCCTGCCTGCCTTGTGCCTTCAATTTGGTTAGTAACTGGGAGCTTTAAAAAAAATAGTTAATGGGGGGAGGGGTTTAGGAGTTTTATTTTTTTTTTTAGACAGCAATTTAAAGTTAAGGAAGTTTTAAATTTAGCTGCTTTTATCTAAAAATATAAATAAAATAAAATAAAATAAAATAATAAATTGATTTATTTAATTTGTGCAACTTTCTGAGATTTGGTGTGTTTCTGTAGTGTTTCACTCTAACTACACAAACACACAAAATCTCACAAAGCTGTATATAGCATTTTGTGTGGAAAAAGTGTGAAAGTTGGTTTTTGAGCTTTTTGTGGCTATGTGAGGTTCCTGCTTGTTGCAGAGGCCATTTTGGGTGAAGTGCAGCTGCTTTTACATTGTGTGTGAGTCAGTTGTGTTGTGTTGTGTGTGTGTGAAGTGTGGAAGTTGGTTTTTGAGCTTTTTGTGCCTCTGTGAGGTTCCTGCTTGTTGCAGGGACCATTTTGGGTGAAGTGCAGCTGCTTTTACATTGCGTGTGAGTCAGTTGTGTTGTGCTGTGGGGTGTGTGTGTAAAGTGTGAAAGTTGGTTTTTGGTACCTCTTATTGTTTTGTGTACTTTGTTTATTATTTTTATTATTTATTATTATTGGCCATGCCCACCCAGTCACCTGACCACCAAGCCACACCCACCCGATCACCTGACCATCAAGCCACGCCCACAGAACCGGTAGGGAAAATTTTTAGATTTCACCCCTGAGGTCAAGCTATTGTATATACCAGTAATGGAGCAAATCCCACAAATCCAATTACTGATGATCTTATCCAGTCAGGTAGTAAGACATCTGCAAGCAAACAGCCATGCTCAAAGAGCAGCAAAGACTCCACAGTTCAACTCTGAACTACAGGTATACAAAGATGGAGAATCTGAGATTGTATGAATGTGGTTAAGATCACTATTTTTTGTTAAGAAGCTGGACGATGAATTTTGAAAAACTGTATTTGTCATTCAATATGGATTACTCACTATGTAACAAAATGAAAGTCATTTAATCTTACTTTGTTTGGCATTTTGCACTTCAAGATGCTAGATGGCTGGCAAGATTAAATATTTTTAAACTGTTTTTAATTTTTTGCTTTTTGCTCTGCTGAGCACGTGTGGAAGGAACAGAATCCGATCAAAAATGACTGAATAAAGCTTTCTAAGTAGATCTTTGCAGTTTGGTACGTTAAGGCTACCAGGTATAGGCTGCAAAAAACCTAGACAACCACTAGAGGACAGTAAAACGATGTTTATACCTGCACATCGGCAGTCCAGATTTGGTAGCTTGTCTATCTGCCATACCTAAAGCTCTTGATACAGAGATACTGAATGCTGTTGGTTATGTGGAACTTTATTACGTAGCATCATGTGGCCCAAGTTGATCCAGGAAGAAATGGTCTTGGAAACAAGGATGATTAGATGATCTGAATGTGTGTCATATTTATTAGTGTCAATAATGAATCTTTAGGGGGGGGGAAATAGACATGGAAGAAAAGGAAATAAGTGAAAGAAAGTAGAGTGAAAGTAGAATGACTACAGAAAAAGAAAATATGAATGCTGTATATAAAAGTATTAGAAGATAAATTAATCTAGCAACAAAATGAATGGGAAGGGCCATAATAGAAGAACATTGGATTACTGCATGAAGTTGGAATAATAATTATATCACTGTCCAGGGTAATAAAGAAATGTATTGAGATATTCTAAGGAGAGTCATTAGATGAAATGACGAATTGAAATAAGCTGTGTATGAGGAAATAAGCATGTAGAGTTGCTCCCTGGCAAGATAAGCAGCAAATAAATTTAATAATAAAAAATAATAATAATAATGTAAGATAAAACTTAGGGTAAGAAAGATATTGCATAATGTGTGTTGAGGGGGGAAGACAGTAATGTAGTCAGAAATCAGGAAACAATAAGATTAAAAATGGCCCACAAAATGAGTGATTTTGAGGGAAATAAGTTGCTTTGGAAGCTATTGAGGTGGGCTAAACAAGGAACCTCCATGAAAGCTCATGGAATTAAAAGTGTTGAAATAATTTGAGATAAAATTACCCAAGAGTGGGAATGCTGGAAACTTTGTTTTAAAGAAAAATGTGGGAAAATATGTCAAGTTAGAATTGAAACAAAGGGATGAAAATGAAATAACTGTTATGAAACATTGAAAATGATAAGGCTGTGGGGTAGATGAGATAGTGGGAAAATGTATTTATTTAATTTTAAGAACTTTTATGGCCACAATATTAATATTAATAGTATTAGTATTACTTACATAGTAATCTTAGGATGCTCCCAAAAATCAATAAACAATCCCCTAAATTTGTTTTTTAAAGTGTTATTTTTTTTTAATTAATAAT